AGCGCACTGGACACCAGCTCCAGACAAGCCGCACTGTTTGCCACTAAGGGCTCCTTCCTCACGACACGCGTCAGGTAAGTAGGAGCGATCTGTGGCAGCCTTAAAAGTTTGAACAGGTCCTCAAAATGCTTCTCTCGCTCCTCTGGGTTGTGGTGAATCCATTTCACGATTGCCTCAAACAACTCCTGCTCAGACTCCACTGTGATTTCTGCATCACACAGCCAGTCTCGCACCAAGTGAAAGGGCAGTGTGAAGAATTCCTCGTTGTGAATGACTTTGTGAAAGTTTCTCCTGATCGTCTCGGCAGCTCTCTGAGCGAGCTGGTTCAGCGTGTACATGTGTGCAAGGCTGTGCACGGCTACGCAGTTGGACATGCTCAACTTCCTCATCAGGAACTCTCCGCAGAAGGTCTTCAGCTGCCCCAGCAGAAACCTGACAGAGTGAGATATCAAAGTTACAGCATACGAAAAATGTTATATTTCCTTGCTACATTAACTTATTATTAGTCTCTGGCTCTCTTCCACAATGTGTCTTTTATCCCTTCTTCCTCCCACCACCCCCCAACCGGTCGTGGCAGATAGCTGCCCGTTCCTGTTCTTCCTGCTATAAAAGGGAATTTTTCCTTCCCACTGTCACCAAGTGCTTACTTAAAGAGGATCCTTTGATTGTTGTGGTTTTCTCTGTATTATTTTAGGCTCTTTACTTCACAATAAAAAGCGCCTCGAGGCAATTGTTGTTATGATTTGGTATATAAATAAAAGTGAATTGAATTTTATTGAATTAATTAAAAAATACTGACTCTCTATGTAAAGTATTTTATGACCGTATAAAAATATTCTGAGGGTAAAAGCATTGAAGGAGAACGACTCTTGCGTGTCAGGATGGCCGAGCGGTCTAAGGCGCTGCATTCAGGTTGCAGTCTCCTCTGGAGGCATGGGTTCAAATCCCACTCCTAACAAGCAAGTGTAACAATCAAAGATAGTTTAATAGTTTAAGTCCTGACTTGTGATGGAAGCACTTTGATCCTTTCTACTCAAACCACACCTGCAATTTTAAACTCAAGCTTCATGCCTGTGCAGTTCTGTGAATGTATCTTCAATTATATTTTGTTAGACAGCAATATGACAACCTGCTCAAACAGCCTCCCTGAGACAGACTCCCAGGAAAAAATCAATACCATGATACACTGTTCTATTCAGCTGTCCAGTAAGCTATAACACAGTGCCAAGGAGCCACCATAAACCACATCAGGACCTTGAAACTGAAGCAGATAACAAAATGAAGCCAATAGTTAGTTTACAATGATGATTTTTGTAATCTGAAGGTTAAAATGTATTATTATTATTATTTTTTTTTTTTTTTACATTTTTTCGTGGATATAATAGCTCTAATGAAGAGTAAATAATAATAGCAAAGATGTAACCACGCAAGCCGCCACACCCTTACAGGTCCATCGACATAGGAGTTGTCAACCATGCAACTTCTAAACACTTAACCCTGATAATAACAGTAATAATATGTCCACACCCGAAGGCCAAAAAACAGTGCAAGAGATTCTTGTGTGGACCACATCTACTATAAAGAGATAAGCTGGTTTCTTCCTTTTCCTCGTAATGAAACAGAATTTAATTTGGCATCTATTACTGAGCAAAATGCCCAAACACACATCCAGCTTCACGAGAAGTATTGTTACTAATTTGCTTGACCCTCTATTATAACAAACTTCTGTATATACCCGCTTATTGGTTGTACAAAACAAATTTAAATATATCAGTTTGATCCTTGTTTTGTTTTTTGTTTTATTTTTTAGGGAAATTTTCAAATCAATCCATCCATCCATTAATCTATTTTCTTTCGCTTTTCTAATTCAGGGTCGCAGTTTGTGGAGCCTATTAAAAGGCAAATAATCCTCAGATACTCCTCTGTTGATGAGAACTGGGTCGTTGTTTGCCCCCTCACTGGACGTCAGTTTTTAATATGACCCTGCTAACTAATTCTTGTAATGACAGCATACAAAGTCACGCCACCTGGTGTGACTTACATACTTCCGCATATAAGCAAAGTGAAATCCACAATCTGATTCACCTGCGGAATAATTTAAAAATAAATTAATAAATCACCTGTCTGCAAGTTCCAACACTTCATGCACATTGGCAGTGGTCACCCTGACTTCTCCCGTGTACATGAACTGTACGACACTTTCCACAGTGTCTGTGTCGGGTCTCGTGCCCGAGCTCCACTCCTTTAGCTCCACTCGCCCGGATCGGGACTCTGAAAACTGTCCCGACAGCAGCAGCATGAAGTACTGCGACGCCGCGGATAAAACCGAGCGGTGCGCGGATACCGTCTGGACCCCGGGCACGGCTCCCGAGCTGAACACCAGAGTCACGTCGCAGAACAGCCCGGCTTTCCTCTGCTCGTTCTGCCGCCGGGAGAGCTCCGAGCAGTAGGCCGAACAGGTGAACTCCTCGGCCTCCTCAGGTTCGCCGTCACCTGTTAGCGCTCCCTGCACCGCCCCGCCGCTGGTGCTGTTGCTGCGGCCATGCTCCTCCGTATCTTCCGCTGCTGCTGCCATACCGCACGGGGTGATACTCAGAGGCAAATGACAGCTCCGAACTATCTTCGGGAATAACTCACAGGTGTACCCAACACATGTAAACAAGCATTCGGAGACTGACATGCATGCGAGGCGTTCAGAGACTTGGTGAGAAAACAGGAGCGCTCACTTCCGTCTTCAGGAATATTCCAAAGGTGCGGTGATTTTTAGCTGGCTGTCAGGGAGAGGTCCTCAGATTTAAGCTAACACATCCACATTGCTGACGCAAACAGTGCAATATGTGACGTATTTAATTGATGTGGCGTTATAACGTATTGAAGGGTCTTTATTTATTTTTATTTTTTCAAGAGAAGTTTACCTTTGTTTAAGGCTGTTGCGCGCATGCGTGTTGCCGGTTATCCGTCTGCCGATGATGTGCACTTTGGCATCTTGTGATGAGGTAACATCAGGTTCATAATTGTATAACGCTTTAAACTGGTAATAAGAATTCATGCCCGAGTTAGGCTATACATGGATGATAAAATAATAAAACTGAGTGTTTCAGCTTGAGTAACAACAAAACCAGATTTTTATAGTTAACGAGATGGTGGAAAAAACATTTTGGTTAACTAAAACTAGTCTTTGGGGTTGGGGATAACTGAATCGTTTCGGCGAACCTGGAAGAAATAAAGGCAAATAAAAATACAGAGAAATTTCCTCAGTTTAAGTATCTGTTTCTAAATTGTAGCACAACCTGCCTGATGGAAGTGTTTGAGATTTTGCAAAATCTTGCCTCTGACATATGCTCTCCATACACTAATAATTAAAAGGTCTAAAACTAACACTGAAACAAATAAAAACTAAATATTTTCAACCAACGAAAACTAATCTAAAATATGAAAATACACTCTGGAAACTAACTGACACTAAACTGAAATTAAATCTAAAAAGTCCAAATGAAAAAAAACAAACAAACCTACAGTCACTGCAGAAAAAACAAGTGTCTGTGCACACAAAAGTAAAATTGTGTCTTTTTTTCATTTAGTTGACCCAAGTCAGACAAACATATCTAATTAAACTAACAGAGTGAATTCTGTATGTGCCCCTCCCTTAAAAATAAAAGCCCACACAGTCTGCTTACTGAGAAAGTGTTATCGCCTCAAGGAAAAACTAACTGGTGCAAATTATTCCTGGGTCTTAGAAACAAATTATTTTAAAAAGGATGGAAATTCAGGATTATTTCCATCACTTTCCCTCGGAGAGATCATAACATGCAGCAGTGACAGAAGTGAAAAAGAATCCAAGGGTAACAGCAAAAACACACCTTTCCATTGACCATGACAAAAATGAGAGGAACACAAATCATTAATCAACTGTGAATTTATATATATATATATATATTTTCCCCTCTTGCCTTGCGAAAGCTCTTTATCCTGGTGGGCGGATTGTTTGAGAGGCATCTCTGCACGTGGGGTCTCATCTGGTGTGATAGACCCCAGCCTCTATGGATCTTATGCTCAGAGCTTGTTCATGCACTGCCATGATTAGTGCCTCTGTGCTGTCTTTCAGTCCAGCCACTGGTAGGATTTCTTGATGTCAGCCACTTCCACTATCTGCAGGTGGTACATAAGGTGCAGGGGCCTGTCCTTCCATGATGGTTTCTCTTCCTGGACCTTTTCTTTCTTGGGTTTCTGCCGCCTGAGGTATTCACTAAGCACATGGTTGCTTGTGGCCATCTTCTTGATGTATTCATGGATGTTCGTTGTCTCATCCTGGACAGTGGTTCTGACACTCAGTAGTCCCTGGCTTCCTTCTTTCCGCTTACTGTACAGTCCCAGGGTGCTGGATTTGGGGTGAAACCCTCCATGCATGGTCAGTACATTTCCTGTCTTGATGTCTGTGGCTTCCATTTCCTCCTTTGGCCAGCTTATCCAATCACCAGACAAGCTGGCCAAAGGAGCTGACTCCTCCTCTTTACAGGTATTTGGAGATTCATGATTTCCAGTTGCCTGTGGGATTCCCAGGTACTTGTAGCCATCCTAAATGTCTGTAATGCTGCCCTCTCGTTACCATTCGACTACACTTCTGCAGCCTGAATGTCATCCCAATATATCCGTCTTTCTCTATATATCTATATGTGAATACACATATGTGTATATATATGTATATACATACATATAATTTACATCCAATTTACCTTTTTATTGATATACCGTGGTATAACCTGAAGAATTAAGTTTTAAAGTCCAGAACCGCAAACAATTCCTCATCAGCAGCTCAGGATACAGCCGATGGACAGTGATGCTGGTAAAGGCGGGTGTTTAGTTTTTTGCTTTGTATTTAAATGTAATTACTGTTCATGTTAGAGATAAATGTTCAGAATTAAGTTTAAGGATTTTCCATTCAAGAGGAAAGTAAACTTACAGACTCATGATGCAGTTAAAAAACATCAAAGACGACAAAATAAAAGAAAAACAAGTTCTTTATTTTACTACTTTATGACAGCATATTACAAAACAAAAAAGCTTTTTTCACATTTAAATAAAAACAGATTAAGCACAGCAGACATTGCAGTGGGCTGTTACAGAGTGTTGTGAGTTTTTACTGGAAGTTGGAGAACATCCGGATTATGTGCTGTAAGTTTCCAAAGTAAAGCAAACTGCTTTCATGGTCCCTCACCAAAAGAGGCTTTCCAGACTCACAGGGCTCATTCATGAAGCATTTGTTCGCCTCTTCTTGATGCGTCCACAGCTTCCTTTTTTCGACAGTTATTAGAATACTAACAAACTGATTAACTTAACTATAACCCGGGCTGGTTTCGTGAAAGGCAAATGGTGGAGAGACTCCTGACTTGTGTCTAATTCCTCTCATTTCCATGATGATGTATCCTTTTCATGACATTTGTACCATCTACCACTGCATCTTGCTTTTTTTTTTCTCCTTTTCTTTTTTTAATTAAATAAACAAAACAACAAATTCCCTAAAATAACTTTGGTTTAATTTTGTGATGAGATTGACTTTTTTTTGTTGTTGTTAGGAGTGAATCAAGGTGAAGGAGTTTAAAAAGGGATCTAGTGTATAAACTAAGATGCAGCACTCGGAAAGCCAGAAAGCACATTTAAGCACCCTGTTCTTGTGGTTTAAACCAGGCAGATTAAGTATTTTAAAAAATGCTTTGCAGCCATTAACAGAGGTTACTATGCAGACAGGATTAAGGACTGAAATTTTGCTTGAATCTTCCTCCTGTACCCACTAAGCATAACCATCTCTCAATTTTGACTCTGTTTACCAAGTGATTTTGTGCTCCTGCAGCTAGGATTTGCATTGGTGTGGCTCTTTGTTAAAAACTAAACAAGTTACATCTCAGACCTTTTAAATTAGTTCTCAAAAACTAAGCCTAGAAATATACTTCCCCTTTTTCCTCCATAAAAACTAGATTGAAAACTTCTACCCAGGTTCCTCAGATAAACAGTACTTCCCACTTTCCAAAGTAACCCCGCCCAGTTCCACCCCCCTCGGCAGCTGCTATCATAACTAGAGAGGAGATATAAGTTACATGAGATGTGTAATACCGCCTGACATCATCATCTGGAAGTGATTTCCATTCTGTCACAAGGGAATTACATGGACATGTGTTCAGGGAGCACGTAGGAGATGTCATCCCATGGGTGGCGGTACAGACCCTGTTTCAGCCTCTTCTGATCCAGGTAATGGCCTAACAAAACAAACTCAGGTTAGAGACTGTTTTAAATGTTGTCACAGAGAATATCATGGCTCCATTTTAAAGGGAACTCACCAATGAAGCCCATGCTACGGCCGAGGACAAAGATCCCATTTAGTGCACCGATCTCCACAAACTCGTCAGCCTCGTCTCTGGAGACAGTTCAACATTCATGTGAGAAACAATACTGGACAGTGTCCCCTCGACACACAGCAACAGTGCAGACGTTGCATCTCAGCCATCTGAATTCTCCACAAGCCATCGAATAACATGCACTTTTGGTTAAATCTAAATAATGTAGCTGTAAGCATATCAGAGTGTTTATTATGGTTTCTGTTAACAACTGCAGGCTTCCTGGTAACACCCAGTGATAATATTGATACCGATAATATTTCGTAGTATTCTTCTCTTTTTACTCATTAAATTTCGTTTACACTACCTTAGAGTGCCAATCTAAAAGAGGAGGAATACTAACAACACGTGGCCCCTGTAGTGGTGTCTCTATTTATTCATCTATTTGTCTGATTTTCTTACTGTTCTATTCTCCCACTGACAAATTTAATAAGTGTAATACTTGAATCATCCCTGGCCATGTGTTTACATGCTC